AGGGTATAGGGTTTAGGGTTTTGGTTTGGGGTTTGGGGTTTAGGGTTTCGGTTGAGGGTATAAGGACTATCAGGGGATACTGCGGGCAGTCATTCAGACCCTTGCGCGAACACCCTGAACGCTCTCTCTCAGGGTAAGCTCAGGCACACCTGCCGGTTCGAAGCCAGACTAGCTAGCAACATGGTTTGCTACTATGCTCTTACCTTCCCCAAGAGAAGTATATGCGACTACCACGAAATCGGAAAACCCTAAGCCCTAAATAACCCTGTTTTAAATCCCAGGACGCTTGTCTTAGCCTTAGCTCCCCAATACCCAGCCTTTACACTTTTGGAGCTCTTATAACTTAGTAGTAATCTGAAAGTCTAACCTTTTATTTCCCTAGCTTATTGGAGATGTAAGTAGCCCCAAAAGCCGCAGCCTCGAAGCTTCCTCGGCCCCTGCCCTGGGCGTCGACCCACCACTTCGCAAAGCTGCCCCGAAGCCGAAAGCTGAATCTCGAGGTCTGAAGTGGAATACCTTTAAGATTCCTTGCTGGCCCGCCTGTATATGTATAGAAAAGAAGTATACAAAAAATCCTCCCCCAAAAAAGCTCTAGTCCGAGATAGAATCGCCCTAAACCCTAAACCCTAAACCGGTCGCAACTCAAGCCACCCCAATCTCCTTCTGTGGAGCCGTGGGGTCCCAAGAGGGCTTCAAAAGTCGGAAGGTCATTTGGCAGGCAAGCTGATAGGTAATACAGGGGCCTAAATAGTTACCAATACCATTTTGGGGGTTCCCTTGTTAAAGTCACTCTTTTATATACCCCAAAGCCTTATTCTTGATTATTCAGGCCCCTACACTAGTTGTATGGTGTAGGGGCTTGGGGGCTTAGGGGCTCAGGGTTTAGCGCACTTAGCCCTGAGCATCTCGCCACGAGTGCGATGTGCTGCGGGAAACCTGGCCGGGCGAGCACTAATCAAGCCTGTGTAAACATGGGTTTAGACACGTCCCACGGCTTGCTAGGATTATAGTCACCGCACTGGCCCTTTCAATCTCTTTCCCCGCCCCTAAGCTTTGCCCGACACCTGTCAGTCGCAGGTGGGTGATAGCTTTCTCCTTGGCTTGGACTCCCGCACACAGGCTCTGGAGGGGATGATGGTGAACCTTGAACCCCGAAGCATGAGCTATCAAACTTGCAACCTAAGTTCGGAACCAAAACCCTAAACCATCAATGCAGAACCTGACAAGACTTCCACTGCCAGAGGCACAAAACAGCTTTGCCGAGTCACAATTATACTTTCTGATGGTTATCCTACTTCTACTGCCTGATCATCATGTCCGTACGTGCATGCGTGTGTAGGGAAAACAGAACATGTCTGCAATATGTGCGCGTTTTTCTGTGTTTAGATAGCTGGATAGATATTATTTAGATAGGTAGACAGGTACATAGATAGATGGTAGGCAGGTAGGTAGGTAGGTAGGTAGGTAGGTAGGTAGGTGGGTAGGTAGGCAGGTAGATAGGGAGGCAGATAGCGAAGCGTCAAGCTTATGTGTTCATTGGAGAGCCAGCCACTCGGGTATCAAAGGCAGTCCACAACCTTGCACCTTTGGATCCTTCAACAGGCAAAGTCCGAATGATAGCAGAAACAGGGTAAGTGCTATCCAAACCTGAATCGTTTACGGTTCGTTTTTGTTATCAGTCTCCACCGAAACCTCCCGCAAACGGGAAGCAGCTATAGAACCCTGCTGATCTCTATAAAGTCATTTAAAGTAAAATCCCCCTAAACCCTAAACCCTAAGCCCTAAACCCTAAACCCTAAACCCTAAACCCTATAACCCTAAGCCCATGAGGTAAAGTAAAATCCCCCTCCAGCCAGGACGACTCTGCAGCGGTAGCTTTGTCGCTGTTGGCACCGAAGCCGCTTGAGGTGCCAGGATTTTAGGGTTTAGGGGTTTAGGGTACGTTTGAACCTGTGGAAGGATTGCTAGTTGGGGGTTCTATCGTGGGCGTAGACGGGTTTCATACGAAGGTTTCATGTGTTCTAAATGGGTACTTCATATGAAGGTTCTTGACGAGGAGTTTGAGACGTGTTTCTGTGTTTCTTGTGCCTCGCTTCATTTGGAGTTCGGGCTTGTGCGAACTGTTCGGGCGATCTTCAGATGCTCGTCGAGGTTGTCGACCTACACGACTCTAACCTCTAAGACCATCCAGCTACTGCCACACCAACTACAACCACCATCACCACCCTTGCTACCACTACCAAAGACAACGAGGACCCCCCCATCGCCGCAGCCACTTTGAAGCATCATCAGTGAGGCTTCGCGGGCTTGAAGCTGCAACCACTCTGGCACCTTCCACCGCGGAGGTCTATCACTTCGATTTCGACGGCTTCGGGAGCGCCAAGAGCAAGTTGCTTCAGGACACGCTTCTGCGAAGAAGGGTTTCCAGGTCTCTGCGCATCTTTTCTGAAAGCTCTACTTGGAAATTGAGTCCCAAGCAGTGTACGCCATGACGGCAGTGGGCGTCGTTTAATATAGAAGCCTAAATAAATACCAAGATTATGGTTAGGGTTCCTTATTATAAACATACTCTAAAGGAGCCCAACACCCTAATTATTAACCCCTACATTAGCCCATCGTGTATTCCAGGCGCCGGCCTCTGCCGCGTTTTTACAACCCTGGAAGATTGCTCAGCAAGGGTCCCCAGAGAACCCAAGACCCCTCAGCTAAAGGAATATACCTTAAGTTATAGGGTCCTGCATATTATGATGTAAGGTATAATTATTAACCTAAACCCTAAACCCTAAACCCTAACCGCTTAATTAAGGGGTATTGGGTTCTCTGGGTCCTGGAGCCTTGAAGTCTATGGCTGTGGTTGGGATGGCCGCTATCGGAGCGGAAGGAGCTTTGTAGCATCTTCATGGGCTTAGGGTTTAGGGGTTTAGGGTTTAGGGTTTATGTCTTGTGTGATTGGGTGAGTGTTGCAGTCAATGGTGCTGCAGCTTTGCCTGGCCTTTTTCTTCAGGGTACCCGGCAGTCGCAATAGGCCTGGATGCAAAAAGGGTTTAGGGTGTAGGGTTTTAGGGTTTAGGGTTTAGGGCTGAGTCGCAAGCAGATGCTTCTAGGTCAGCTTGTCAGCAGCCGGGGCAGTTTTGGTGGTTTGCAACCCATAGAGCATCCTGAAGGCTGGAGCTCTTCAACCAAGAGCTTTGGCTCTCAAGCGGCTGCAAGGCAACAGCTATATACGTCAGCATTTGGCTTTACTACGGTTCTGGCCTAATCTAGCCATGACTAGGTGGCACTTCGGGACACCTTTGAATTTCCCTGTATGGTTCCCTATTCATTTCCTTTCAAGGGTCCCCAACCTACAACCAAAACCCTAAACCCCAAACGGCTGATCAGGAGTCACACGTGAAGTTTCCGGACATGGCCTATGTGCTGGTCGTGGAGCCCGACATGATCCCGAAGGTAGGGATGCTGGTTTGCCTATACACCCCTAAACCCTGAGCAGCAGGAGATGTCTCAAATTGGCTGCTTTCGGGGCGGTGAATTTATGCAGCACCAGGTGGGCCTTTGGGCCATCTTTTTCCTCTTATTATTGGCTAAAACCTAAATCCTACAAAAGGGCCAACCTAGAGAGCAGGGCTGGCGCTTGCCCGGCGCAGCTAAGGGCACGAATGCTCAACAGTCTCTCCCCCCACCCCCCCTCCTCGGCCGGCTCCTCATCTGCCACTACGATATTCTGTCGGCTTCGGGGTTTGGGGTTTAGGGTAAATATCCGCAAATGTCCCCTGGGCATGGCTCCCGGCTGATTGGAGAGAGCTCCGGGTTTAAAAAGAAAGGGTTACCCTAATGTTTGCCATATTACAGTATGTCCCAAAACCCTAGCAGTCTAAATACGAAGGCCCCTAGATTGGTGAGTTCACGGCTTCGAAGCCTGACGACCCAAGCACGAAGTCAACACCGACTCCTGAGCTCAAGCGGCAAGTCAAAACCATGAACCTTTCAGTTTAGGGTTCAGGGTTTGGGGTTGAGGGATGTGCAAGACTGCACACATACAAATGATAAGGTTTCGGAGGTTCATGCTCGGATTGTGTGCTACCCGTCCCCGTCGATTGGAAAGCAGACAACCGAGTCCTCGCTTGAAGAAGCATCTAGCGTGTTTTGATTGGTGCCTTCCTGTTTAGCAAGACAGAAGTCCACATCGCTGTAGTCTTCCGCCTGCAGTACATTCGGTTGTTCCCGGGGCCTCTACTAAACCCTAAACCCTAAACCCTAAACCCCTACACCCTAAACCTCTTATCCCTAAACCCTAAACCTCTAATCCCTGAGCCCTAAACCCTAAACCCTAAACCTCTAGTCCCTAAACCCTAAACCTTTGAGTTCCACTGTTTTTCGACCATCGGAGGAGCCTTCCACACCACCCCGAAGCAATTTACCAAGACAATCCCTGGGCTAAACCCTGGAAGAACAAAACTGTTTAGGGTTTAGGTTTGGGGTTTGGGGTGTAGGGTTTAGGGTTTACGCAGAAGAGCCCAACAAAAACCCCTGAGGTCCTATGTTCGAGGATCCAGGGCGTTAGGTCAGAGATGCGAGCTTGCATCGTGCGGCCGTACCCCCTTAAACCCTGAACCCTAAACCCTGAACCCTCAAAGGCTTTCCGCAGATGCTGTGGAAAAAGGCCCTCAACAAACAACAAACCTGAACCCTCAACCCCGCCAGGGAGCACCCTTCTCGCGCGAGCCGCTGAGGAGCCAGGAGCCTCCTTTGGCGTTTCAGGGTTCTGGTGATAATTTTCGGGGTTTAGGAGGGAGTGAGAGAGAGAGAGGGTTTAGGGGTTCGTGTTCTGAGAAGAGAAGTTTAGGGCCAGTTTAGGCGCTTTAGGGGATCAGGGTAAGATTAGGGCTCAGAGGATGGGGGCTTAGGGCGCTCAGGGATTCGGATGAAGCAGAAGTAGTGGTAGCAGCAGCCAGAGGGGCAGTCTGTACGGAAGTGGCCAAAAAGTCTAAACTCTTAAACCTACTAAACCCGGAACAGGATTCGAAGAAGTCTGAGTTTTGGGGATTTGTGACTCTGGATCTCATAAGTCCTAAGGCGTCAAAGCTTCCAGGCAGATTGAGCGTCTTCGACCTTGATGCTTCGTAGACAGACTCGCCGGCTTCGGGTGGCCCCACTCGCATTGTAGTGATTGTTGTTACCTATAGTCTCCATTGTAGTTCCTTTTCCTGGTTTAACCAAATATATATGAAGGATTTTATAAGGTATCCCCCAAAAGGAACAGCAATGGAGACTATAGGCACTACGGATACTTCTTGTAACTTTGCGGGACACGTCCTCTCACCAGATGCCCGAAAGAACGAAATCCTTGCACAGATTACGTCCGCCAGGTTTAGGGGTTAGAGGGTTCAGGCCCGCAAGGTTTGGTGGTTCGGTGGGGAAAGCCACAACCCCAGAGTCCCCTACGAGGAGCCGGTCTACGCGCTCCGGCGCGGAGGCAAAGAATCGCTAGGCCAGCCGCAGGGCAGAGGGCGGGGTGCGCACGTGTTGCGCTCCGTTGGGGCTTTGAGAGCCTTCCGTCGTTGAATCAGCATCCTATCCCACCGCCCCAAACCCAAAGCCTCTAGTATTGTTTACAACCCCGCAATCTCGATACCTTATAAACCAACAAGCATCTGAGCCTCTTCCAGGATTCCTTCCCCCGAGCGCCATGTGGCATAATATAGGGGCCTTAATAATTTGAGTAGGGTTTTGGGGGGCATTCTACTATACGTATAATCAGGAACGCCTAAAATAGCATAGGTAGTTATTTAGGCCGGGGAGTGAGGAGGATTTATGGTGTTTTGTAGGGTCTAGGGTTTTAGGTCTGTTTTGTAGGGTTTTAGCGTTTAGGGTTTAAGGTTTAGGGTTGTTTTGTAGGGTTTCGGGTTTAGGGGGGCGGTCGTTGACTCAATATGCACTTGATCGGCAAGCCCTGGTGCAATGCACGAAGCAGGGAGCAACCAAAAAGCTTCAGACCAAGGCCTAGAATATAGGGGCTTTCATAATTACCGATATAATTGTGGGTTTTCCCTTATTATAGTTATAGTGAGAATATACCCGAAAACCCTATTCTAATTATTAAGACCCCTGTATTATACGGGTTGGGTTACCATGACGGTTTGAAATGAAGCCGCCGAGAAGTTGTGACCGGGAACTTTAAATCACATCGCGAACCTAGACCCTCCAGCGACCCTCTATTAGAGCCTACACACCCATATAATGGGACCATTTACCCCTATTTGGGGCTAGAAGGAGGGTCCTGGCTTCCGCCCTGTGTTCCTTCAACTTGCCCCTCGCTCCTCCCCTGCTGAAGTTCCGAAGTTCTAAATACCTATAGTCTCCATTTAAACAAGTATATATATATATATATAGAGAGAGAGAGAGAGAGTGACCCGAAAGAGGAACTACAATGGAGACTGCACACTGAGACAGATTTGCCCATACATAATCCCCTAAACCCTACACGCCCTCCTGCCTTGCTGAGTGCTTTGCCGTGTACCCTGCGGGCAGGGGAGCGACTCACGGATTGCGTCCGGCACTCAAGTCAGCGGGGTCTGTCTGTTCAGACGCTTTGCGTAGCATCGAGGGTTTCGGATTCTCTGCAAACAACAAAGGGCAACTGCCCATACCACCACTGCCACCACCATGGCGGCGACGACGACAACTACTACCAGTTACTACCACTGCTACTTCTAGCACTGGTACTGCTACGAGTACTTTAGGCTTGACTGGCAGTCGACAAAAGTCGTCGTTGTTTCGGGCCGGGAAAGGAGTACGGATACAGAGGTGGAGGTGATCATGTCAAACATCCACTGGTCCACTTGCACCGTTGGATTCTCTGCCCTGCACTTGAGCTGCAGAGCTCAGGAAAATATTGACAAACCGGATCCGAAATCACAAGCACCACCTAAGGTCTTCCGCAATGATGGTAACTGGTACTTTCGATTCCGGGTTCATGAGACCCCGGTGTACCGCAACGCTGGAGAACGTGGCCTCCCGGACGAGATCAAGGAGGGAGTTGCAGAAATAGGTGACCTAACCAGGACTCCATCTATCGAAATACCATGCAAGGTTCATAATAATCCACTAGGCAGACTACGCTGCTGGGTGCCCCAAATATCAAGAATCCGCGTATACACCCCATAGAACACCCTATAATGCCGGTATGCCTGGTACACCCTTGAGACAAACCTGCTTCTAAAGCCCTTACAAAGCCTTTGCCCTAAACCGACCCTGCATCGTAGGTTCGTCCTAGCCAGGCGGGAGGCAAACAACAGACCCGAAACCGCTGTTCCCAGGATACCGGCTGGTCTGTGCTGGAGATCGAAGGTAGCTCTCGCGACAGGGCCTCGCGCCAGGAGCGAATACGATCCCTGGCTGACCGGGTTAAGGGCTCAGGGTTGCGACAGAACTTGGAAGGTTGACTGACATTTTTCGGAGTCTTTAGACCTTCAGCCCGATAAACTTTAGGGTTTAGAGTTTAGGGAGTACTGCTACTAGCTGCTATTGGCATCTGTTTCGGCCGGGGGGTGCTTAGATTGCAAATAAGACGAGTCCTCTTTGTAATAAAAGCACCCCCCACCCTCCCCGCCGAAATAGATGCAAATAGCAGCAAATCGTTGCATACCGCAGCAAATAGCGGCGATTGGCCGTAGGTTTGCAAGACCCGTTCATTATGGTCGGCCCTGACTACTGACGCTGCTCTCGGCCTTGCATGTCTGCAATGTCTGGTCTGCTGGTGATCGGCGTAATCGGCTCTGGATCACGTTCAGAACGCAAATTTCTGCAAGGCACCATGCACACACTCCAAGAGCCAGGTACTCGTTGCTAGATTTCTCGGGGAAGGGGCGCTTTCGGGGGGGGTGGGGGGGTGGGGTGGTCGACCAACGCAATTTATGTGTTCGTCAGAGAGATTCGACGAACTTGAACTTGGCTGGTTCGAAGATCCAAGGAGAAGAGCTGAGATTGGTACGACTGGATCTTAAAGATCATCCCGGGCATCCTCGCCTGATGTACTATCTGGGCGTGTTGCTTGGTGTTGCGCAAGGTATTCTGTCACTGGTGCTGTGGCATGCTACTCTTAAATGCCAAGCCTGAAACCTTGACCATCTGATTTGATCATGTTTGATCCGATTATTGGTAACCAACGATACAGAGAAGTTAGCTGGGCCCCTGCGCGATGTAAAGCATGGAAAAGCACAACAGAGCTCCCTAAACCCTAGACCGAGCACCGAAACCCTCAATCCCTGACCCTTGAGGCCTAGTTGCTGTCCTATCCCAGAAGCCCTGACCCTAAACCCTAAACCCCTGCATGCTCGGTATTTCCGTAGAAGTCGACCTTCAGGGATTTATGACATGAAACTGGCGAAAGAACCACGCCATTGCTACTGATATCATCACCACAGCTCTGCTCCCACTAGTGCTGTGCTGTGACTGGGCAGCAACTCGTCACCAGCAAAACTCACCAGGTGTGCTATGACCCTAAACCCTAAACCCTAAACCTTAAACCCTAAACCCTAAACCCTATATGTGCCAAGGCATTACTACGCAGTAAAGTTCTCCACGGATGGGCCGGTCAGAATCTCCCTGCCAGTCCTTGGATGCAGGTGAGGTTGTAACCACAATCAGCTCAGGGCACACAGGCCTTCACATTAACACTCCCCGAAAACCCAGAGAGCCCAAATACCCCTTAACAAAGGAATATAGCTTAAATTATAGGGGCTTTTATATTATGGTTTAAGCTATATTCCTTAATTAAGGGGTATTGGGCTCTCTGGGAGCGAAAACACTCTCAAGCAGAGTCATGACTACCGGCTGCAGGTGCTGGGGCTCTAGCTCAGAAGCAGGTTTCAATAACGGGACTCGTCTCTGTGACATGGTTGAAGTACAGGGGTTGCCGTCTTCCTCCAAAGGTGGGCTTGCCAAATCCTAATTCGCCGGTCCGATTAAAACCCTAAACCCTAAAACCCTAAACCCTAAACACTAAACCCTAAACCTTAAACCCTAAACCCAGCAAGCTCGCAAGGGTATTGCATGGCTTGCCCCGGCAGTGAGGTTGCAATATGACCTTGCCATGGAGCTGAGCAGTAGAGGCCGGCAGCTGCATGCTAGCAGAGCTCTATGGTTTCGGGTTTGGGGTTTAGGGAGGGTTTAGGGTTTAGGGGCTACTTGGTCCATATGTCAAAATGCGCACATGTCCCCTGGGCGTGGCTCCCGGCTGATTGGATAGTGCTCCGGCTTCAACAAAAGGGGCTACTTAGAGAAAGAATGGCAATTTGACTTGACTGCCGCAGGCTGCCTGCTGCCTTGGCCTAATGTAGAAGCCTTAATAATTAGAATAGGGTTTGGGGTTACACTATACTATTTAAATATAATGAAGAACCCCCAAAATAGTACAGGTACTTGTTTACCCATAGGCTCCAAAGTAGTTCACTTTTGGGCATACTTTATAGGATCTTAAATGTAATCCACAAAAAGGAAATATAATGGGTTCAACATAAGAACCTACTAAAAAACAACTATATTAGGGTTCGCAGTAAGAACCTACAAACAAGTAGGTCATGCCTTAAGAACCCAAAACCCCACTTTTTGTAGGCTCTTATTATAAACCCTAATATGGGATTTATAGGGACCCTACCAAAAAAGTAGGTTTTGGGGTTCTTAAGGTGGAGCCCTAAACCCTAAACCCTAAACCCTAAACCCTAAACCCTGAACCCTGAACCCCTAAACCCTAAACCCTGAACCCTGAACCCCTAACCCTAAACCCTGAACCCCGAACCCCTAAACCCTAAACCCTGAACCCTGTTTTGGGTTCTTAAGGTGGTAGTTCAAGGTATGCTAGCCAGACCGAGCCTCTGAGGCTTCTCTGAACATTAAGGGTTTAGGGTTTAGGGGTTTAGGGTTCAGGGTTTAGGGTTTAGGGCTTAGGGTTGAGGGTTTAGGGTTGAGGGTTTAGGGGGTTGAGGGTTTAGGGTTTAAATTGAGGGTTTAGGGTTTAGGGCTTAGGGTTGAGGGTTTAGGGTTGAGGGTTTAGGGTTTAGGGTTTAGGGTTTAGAGATTAGCTGCTGCGCTTGAGTCTTTTGAAGTTTTACTATACGGGCCTTAACAATCGGAGCCCAAGATCCTATTCTAATAATAGGTTTAGGGTTTAGGGTTCCCCTACATTAACCCCTTCTGCTGCTTAGTGGGTTTCGGGTTTGCGCTTCCCTTCCAGTGTAGCAAGCTTCTGCTCCGCGGTCCCGGCTTATAGGGAGATCTCTTATCGGTCATATCGCTCTTTGCAGAAACGCTTTACAGAGGAATTTGCAGATGATGTTCAGGCAGCTAGAAACTCCGGAAGCTCCTGCACCTGGTCCTAAAAAAAGGGCTCCGAATTCTAAGCTCGAAGTTTCCGAAGTGTGGAAGAGTGGGCTTAGAAGTGCTCCAGATGGGGTTATCCTGGTCACAACATGACTTGCAACATTTTCCACTGGGTCCACTGACAGTCAGCCACTAGGGACATTGTCCACGGTGTGCCTGCCATGGCGGCAGGATGGCTGTACCCAGTGCCACACATCCTTCTGCTCATTGTCGGCGCTGCGAGTGCCGCAGGGCATGAAGAGGCCGGGACTGCCGCTGAACCTATCCAGCTCTACGTGGACGGTCTGCCGAAAAAGACTTCGAGCGACCCATCCTGCAAAGCTCACCGAGGATGCGAACATCTAGCAGGAAACTGCTGCCCTACCTGGGACGGGTTGAACCTGGGCTGCTGCTTCAGTTGGCACTCTCCATTGCCAACTCCTCCGGACTACGTCGATGTGGCAGACTCTTCTGTTCCCGGCCCCGGTGGGCCTTACAGGCAGGCCATCATGCGCGACCCGTTCTCCGGTGTGCTGGAAGCGGAGACCATGCAGCCCATCTACCTCCTACCGGTGACCAACGGCCTGAAGCAGATTGTGGTCTTCTTCGTCTTCGGCTTTGACCTGAAATTCAAGCCGAACTCGGGGACATGGAAGAAGAAGTTGATAAAGTGGCTGGCCAGCAGTCTATTTCGGGTGATTTTCATTGGGCTTGCGGCCAACGCCTTCCGCCTTGATGTGCAGAAGTTCTTGACGAGGAACAAAGCGGAGAGCTCGCGATACAACGAGGCCATGATCGCCATGGCGGTCTGGTGCATTTCCCCAAACTTTACGATGCTTAGTTCTCCAATACCCAATCTTTAAACTTTTTGGGTTCTTATAATTTAGTAGTAATCTGAAAGTTTAACCTTTTGTTTCCCTGGCTTATTGGCGAAGTAAGGATGGGCTTGGGCATTTGGAATCAACTCAGGCTGCAGAGCCCGGGTGCAGTCTTCCGGGATGACATCGCAGAGTCTCGGTACCTGGACCCTGAAAGTATGTAGAATAATAGCCCTTTATAGATAGGTTTTGGGCCATTGTTTCACCTACTTTTGGGGGTTTAGGTACTATCAACTTTGGACGCCTCACATCTACAGAGACGTGCGCTTTCCATTTTGTCCTGGAGGGGCCCGTTGGCTGACTATCGCGAAGCAGGTCTACGCACTTGTGCTGCTGCCGTACGTGATACCCGTAATGTTCCTGGAGGTGCTGATGTCCGTCTTCTTCTGCTACTGGATTGTCTTCAAGTCGAAGCTGCTTTGCCTCGTCAAGTGCGTCCAGGTGCACATGATTACTTTAGGGTGTTGTCTGATCTGGCTGTTGACGGCTAGCCACTATGGTGCCGAAAAGATCCACAAATACTGGACCACCCTTTGGCCCTTTGTGTATATGTACTTGGTCTACATCTTCGCCTCTTTTGTGGTGCCAGTCCTGATGGCCGTTTTCTATGGCATCCTAATCGGCTCACACTGGTTCCAGATTTGGAAGGGCATCGGCTTGTTCCAGGAGTCGAAGAGAAAAACTTACGGTCTCCTCCACAAGGGTGCGCGCCGAGCCCTGAACATAGCGCCTGAGTCGGGCAGTGAGACTTCGGACGGCGAGGAGGCACCGAGTTATATTGAAGAGTGGTATTACTACATCATGCCGCATCGGGAGCTTCAGTTGGAGCTGGATGATCGTACCTTGCTTATCCGCTTGGACGAGAACCGCTTGAGCAAAGATTTCAAGTTCAACGTCCGAGAAGACCACACTTTGGGGGTCCGAGGCGTGAAGATCGTAGAGGCTTTGCTGCTCCGACTAAAGCAGCAGATGGACAGCGACAGTGACTGGGCTCTTGTTCAGGAACCTGATTGCAGGTTTCTGGAATAAGCGAGCCGTGTTTTCTGGGTGTTGAAGTTGTTTCTCGTCTCATATTTGTGCCAATGGTGGTGTTTCTTCTTCCTTCTGCGGGCTTTCATGTACCTAGATGACGTGTTTTGCTTGCATCTATATAGGCCCCATAGTAGTTCCTTTTTGGGGTTATCTTATTATAGGATTCTAAATATGAACCCCAAAAGGAACTACGATTATGGGGCTTATGGGTAAACCCTAAACCCTAATCCCAAAGCCCTAAACCCTAAACCCTAAACCGTTTGGGGGGTCCTGGTTTAGAACACTCGAATTCCGCGCCGGGAGCACGGTGTCTTTCGCCACCATTGGAAGGCCATCTTGCGAGGAATTCGGGTGTTCTAAAGAGCCTTAATCTAATAATTAGAGAAAGGGTTTAGGGTTTAGGGTTTAGGGTTTAGGGCGAGGGCATAATATACCAGGACCCCCCAATGGCCCTTTAATGGAGCCCTTATGGTCCTTAATAGTAGGTATTTAAGGGATAATAGAGGGTAGTTGGGGGGTCTAGGAAGAGCTCCATGCTCTTATATTTGGCTTTTCGATTGGGTTTAAGGCTGCGACTTTGCAGAGTTGGTGAGAGAACGGTTTGGGGTTTAGGGTTTAGGGTTGGGGCCTCGGGGCAGACTACTTTCTGAACGGTTTGAGGGCGTTGGTCAAGTCGCTGCCTTATGGGGCTTGGGTAGGTTGGACGGCGTCTGTGGGTTATGAAACCATGGTTGAAGCCACCGCGCTTGTGTTACAGACCCCTAGAATCGAAACGTATGTGGATAGTTCTCCAAATTAGGGTCCCCTTTTTAGGTCCCCAATATCCCATGTACTGCACTCCTTAACAAGAGCCCTAAACTCTAAACCGTACCCAGGTGACGATGATGCCGGGCTAAACCGAGGATGCTTCGATGTTCTGGTGGGTGACGAGACCTGTCAGGATGGCGACATCAACATCCAAAAGGACCCGACTTTGAGTTACGACCTTAAGGACAAGAAGGACAGAAACTGGGTTCTGGAGTACCATACTTTCATGCTTTTTTTGGGACCTGTTCCTTAGGAGAACCATTATGAAATAAAAGTCTATGCTTTTTTTCTCCCTGGTTACTTCAAAGCCCAGGAAAGGAAAGCCTGCACGACTCCGAGGTTCAGATTGTCATGTTGACCATTAAGTCACTGGCGGAAGCGGCCATTGTGCAGGCCGTCACCATCTTCCTGGTGCGAACGCTGACCGGGGAGACCTTTGCGGACTTCGTGAATGCAATGAATATCACCATCCAGGAGAGGCATATTCTGGATTGGATTCATCACTTGGCAAAGTTGGGTGAGGAGAAACTCGGAAAGGCCCTTCACACAGTCTGGAGTGCCTAGAGGCCTAGAGTCCTGGTCCTCCAGGACCCCCCAATGGCCCTTTAATAGAGCCCTTATGGTCCTTGATAGTGGGTAGTTAAGGGATAATAGAGGGTAGTTGGGGGGGTCTAGGCTTGAACTTTTAGAATCGCTTCGGGTTAATGGAACTTGCTCAAAATTCCTGGATACGGACTAGACGCATATGTCTCGGATAGATGCGATTTCGGCCGGGCTGCCAACGTCCCAAGACCAGTGGCCAGGGAAAGTGAGGCTGTAGCTTTCTTTGGGGAAGTCTGGTGTTATCTAAGGCTCGGGTTTAGGGCCCTAAACCCTAAGCCGTGATTCAGTGATAGTGACATTGAAGAAGCCCAGCTGCAGCGTTTTCTTTGGAACTTCTACCAGCTCCAGCCTCCGACCGGCGCAGAGACTCCCGTGGGGCCCGGTGTGCAAGCGTTCCGCCGAGCAGGCTAAGACTTCGGGTCCAGACACTGCAGTAAGGGTTTAGGGTTTCTAGGGTTTTAGGGCTTAAGGTTTAGGGTATCCTTGCCCTTGCTGCCATTCTTGTTGCTATTACCATTGAGATCCTGAAGCAGCCGAGCCTAGGGTTCAGTTTCCGGCTGGTTCCTAGTTGCGCAGCCTCACGGGAGAAATTCAGGGTCACCGCAAGTGCACGGAAAGCCTTGGCCCGTAAGCCGTACCAGGCACTGTTCGGCTAGGCACGTGGTCCTACACCCTAAACTCTAAACCCTAAGCTCTAAACCCTAAACTCTAAACCCTAAACCCTAAGCGCAAGACCCTAAACTCTCAAACCCTAAACCCTAAGCGCAAAACCCTAAACTCTAAACCCGAAACCGAGAGCATCGTGCCGGCAACTCCAAAGCAGAGGGGAGCAGGGCTTGGTATAGGCCCCTTGGCGAGTTGGCCCTCGAAAACATGCTAAACCCTAAACCCTAAACCCTAAACCCTAAACCCTAAACCCTAAACCCTAAACCCTAACCGAATTCTGTAGCACAATGGGTAATGGGTCCCGGGTTTAGGGCTTAGGGGTTNNTTATAGGGTTTAGGGTTTGGATGGCTATGTTTCAGGCATGTTGAATTGAAGAGGAGATCATCGGAGTAATGGCATTACGCGTAATTCAGACAAAAACGGGGCCAACCGTAGCCTCAGCGGCTGGATCTTCTCTCTCTGCCCTCCCTTCAGAAGATGAGGTGCTAATGACTGTCCTGGCAGATCTGACCACTGCTGTACAAGAAAAGCACTCTGCATCGAAGAAGTTCATGACAGAGCTTCGTTGCACTTGTTTGCTTTGCCTGCTGTGCCCAAACTCCAGCAATATAGACCCAAGGCCAACATCCGAAAGCTTAAAGCCCGCAAATCTCAGCACTAGACAATGTATAGTGGTGATCCCAAACCTCAAGAGGATTCAATCCCGACATCTAAACCGAAACAAGCCTGCCATAAATCCCAAGCCTCAACGGCGGCCGAACCCTTCCGCAAGGCTCTTCCAGCGAGGTTCGGCAGCTGGCAGCCGAGGCCTGGGCTAGGATTAGGGGGACCCTTGGG